GGGGGGGGGGGGGGGGGGTTAAGGGCCTTGCTCAGGGGCCCAGAGTGGGGCAAATGAGGATGGAGGCAGGTGTGGGTGTTTCACCTTTTCCACCCACATTTTGATGTTGTCGGTACCGGGAGTTGAACCTGCGACTTTCCGATCACAGGCCCATCTTCTCTAGACTCTGCACCACCACTCCCCCTTTTGTGCTCAGTTCTGCTTATTTCAGCCAAATTGTGCTAGCATGTTGTTTCTGCTTTCTTCTGCTAATTTAAGCTCATTCTACCATTTCAGCTACCTTTTAGCATTTTAGCTAATTTCAGCAGTTTTCAGATAAATTCAAGTCTTTTGTGGTTATTTCTACTACTTTCAGCCTAATTAGCTTCTTTCTGCGTTCAGCTTTTTTCAGCCATTGTTTGCTAATTTCAGCCTTTTTTTTTTAGGCAATTTCCTAATGTTTGTGCTCATTTCTGCTTATTTAAACATAATTCAGCAAATATGTTCTTTCTGATTTCTTCTGCCAATTTAGGCTTGTTCTTCCATTTCAGCTACATTACAGCATGTTTTTTAAGCTAATTTCAGCTGTTTTTCAAGCACATTCTGCTGCAATAAGCATCCGCACTGCATTTTTGCAGGAAATGCAATTTCTCTAGTTCATGCTAGATGTTAAGCCGTTAGAAGCAGCGGATCGGTACCTGCTCCAGAGTCAGCTGATCTGCCTCCCAGTCGCTGCAGCGGATCTCCAGAGATTTATCCAGAGAGACGTTCAACAGATCTGCTGCCAACGACTTCAGACTGAGGCCATTACTCACAGACGTCTGCCTGAAGGTGGGACAAGACTGGCTTGAAAAAGATTTTTCATTTCATTCATTTAAACAGCAGCTGTTAGAGCATACCTCTGTCTTAAAGCGAGGTAGCGCAGGTCGACTGTACACGTCAGCGTCAGGCCGTAGTCCCGCGTCAGGCGCCTCCCGTCCTCGTAGCAACCAACACCAACCTTCAAAATGTGCGTGTCGCCGAGTACTTGGATCAAAGTGTGCGGGCACAGCTGCTGCCCGCTGCGAAACGCCAGCAGCTTCACCAGAACGCACAGACCCGAGTACGTGGCCACCTGCAGCAGGGAGACGACCGAGGCTCGGCCCTTCACTGACGCCTGCAGTAAAAACAGAGACAGAACCAACTCGACTTCAAATGTTCCACGAGGTTCAGGTGGATCGTCCTTTTTGTTAAATCTATAAAAAACAAAAGGCTACTGTGGCACTCCTTGTGCCTTTGGTCTTTACCCATTCACAGTCGAGCCCCAGCACAGGGAAGACCGACAGCTCCTTCTGCATCAGCGGCCACATCTGCTGCCACTCCTCTTCAGAGCTCACCATCACCGGTTTCACCTCCAGCAGCTCATCGAACGACAGGACGTGGACCGGAGGGGGCGGCTCGGCGCTCTGACACTCCACCGTCTTCATTTCTGTCGCAGGAACATGATGTGGCTCTACACAATGATACTGCACGGCATTGAGAGTGTTGTCCACAGGATCAGGAGCCTCCACAGGATCCACCACCTTCTGAGTGGAAGGCAGCTTCTTCCTTTTTGTTCGGTACACCTGCCATAAGAGCAGGCCTCCTAAAGTCACTCCAAGGACTGTGGTTACAACAGCGGTTAGAGACCCTCGGTGAGCCATGATGACTCGCTGCGATTAGACTGAGCTGGTCCAACCTAAGAAAACACAGGGCAGAGGGCAAGACAGTCATCACTTCTAACTATACGCTTTATTTTCTGGGTCTCCGAAAAACACCAGAAAGTTTTCACTTCATGCTGCTGCCCAGACTGCAGGTTTACTCGTGGTTCCTCAAGTTTCTAAAAGTAGAATCAGTTCTCAGGCTCCAACTTCCAGTTTCTGTCTGTGAGGCTAAAGACTTGCCTTTTCATTAATCCTTTTGGACGAGGTTTCCAAAGATATCCCTTAGTTCTGCTGCTATAGGATGAGACTTCTGAAGGACAAACTGACCACATCTCATCGCTCTGCTGCTGTCTTTTTGAGCGCAACGCATCATGTTTGCATTTGTAATTCTATCATTTACACGTTTTTCTTATCTTTCTGACCACAGGAGCCACAGCTGGACCAGTAATCATGTCTCTTTCCTGTCCCCTCAGACCACAGCCAGGCAGAGGGATTCCCATCTTGAGCCTGGTTCTGCTGATGGAACCATCAAGAGAACATGTTATTTATTTGTGAGGTCTTACCTTTATCTTCTCAGGGAGTTTCCACCCACAGCCAGCTCGGTTTCAATGATCTGCAGCTCATCTCTGCACAACACGACTCTACATTCAATATAAATTAGTGGACTGATTAATATCATTTTAATTCAGAAATTATGATTAATTTTGTTCAAAATGTTCACATTATTTCATACAACTTCAGGACATTCATTTCAATAAAGTTTTAAATATAAAATGCTGTAACTTTTATATTTTTACTTGATATCTTAGAAAGTTATTTAAAGCTCACTGAGCAGATTTTTTTTTTTTCAAAACTCCTGAAAACTTTTAAACTACCTGTTCTACACATAGAGCCTTAAGGACTTGTTTTAGATAAATACTTTAAGGAAAGGTGGTAAAGATTTAATCTTAAATAAAAGTTACAAACCCTCAGACTGAGGGTTGTTAAATTTGATGAAAAACCTTTTAGCCAACAGCTTCAATATATATAAAGTAAAGCAGGTTTTTATCATAAATCCTGTCGGCAGGATTTAAGTTTTGGAGCCGATCCTGATAAGTCAAGCTAAAACATTTTCTTATAGATTTATTTTAAATATAATTCGACTTTGTGTTTCCAGCAGCATTTCTGGTTAGCACAACGGCTAACAGTCTTATTATTTATCCGTCTTATTAGCAGCATCTCGCGTTCTTTATTTATTTCGGCGTTTTAAGGAAAGAAAAAAATATTCTTTGACTGGCATCCAACCTTACCTTCACGTTTCTGACAAACACAACGCCACTTTCTAGCACGGACAGCTGTTTGCTCTGGCCAAGACGTCTTCTTCTGGCTGTATTTATAATGAGCGCTGCCGCAGATCTGCCTCTGGTGCCGTCTGCTGGACGAACAAGTAAACAGCACGCCTTATTAAAGAAACGCCCCCTGCTGGACAAAAGTTTAAATAACATGCTTTATTAAAGAGGCGCCCCCTGCTGGACAAAGGAATAAACAACACGCTTTATTAAAGAGTCGCCCCCTGCTGGACAAATGAATAAACAACACGCTTTAATAAAGAGTCGCCCCCTGCTGGACAAATGAATAAACAACACGCTTTATTAAAGAGTCGCCCCCTGCTGGACAAAT